CCCTCGGGACCGACGACCCGAGCGGGTCAGACCCCTCAGCTTTCTCTGGGATTAAACGGCACGTTGTTGTTCTCTGGGGGGGGGGATAAACCACCCTCGGGGTCACTTTTCCGGGTGGAAAAGGTGGAATTTTGGCTCCCACAGCGATGAGCAATCAGCCCCGGGGGGGGATGTCCCGCTGCCCCAGGACCCCCATCACGGGTGGGGGGGGTGTCCCGGAGAGCCCCTTCTCGTGTTTCCAACACTCAGACCACCCCCGTTCCTGCCCTCCCCACCCCCCCCAGGGGGGTCGGGGGTCCCCAAACCCCGCGGGCACCACCGGGGGGGGGTCGATGCGGGTGATGGGGCCGGGGCGGGGCGGGGTCCGCTGTGCCCCCACGGTGTCGGGGGGGGTCATGGGAGGATTTTTTGGGGGGGGCTGGGGTTGAGTTACCTCTAGAGGGCTCTGGGTAAGCTCAGCTCAGCTCAGCTCAGCTGCTCCTCGGCGTCTCCTCTCTCCCGGATACCGAGCGGGGCTTCCGGAGCTCAGCCCGGCCGAGCCCCCATCGCGTCCTGCGGGGTGCCTGGGTGGGCTCCGGGCAGCCCCCCCTGCCTCCCCGCAGCCCCGGCCTGGCAAGGGAGGACGCTTCTCCTGGAGGAAATCCCTCTGGAAGCGGCTGCGGGCTCGGCTGAGCCCCGAGCAGGTAACGGGGGGGGGAGAGCTGAGCAGGGTCAGGTCCCTCTGCCCTGCCCTGCCCTGCCCTGCCCTGCCCTGCCCTGCCCTGCCCTGCCCTGCAGAGGGTCCTGGGCTGGCAGGATGCGGCCCTGGGGGGATGTTCCCGGCAGCAGCAGCAGCTCCTCTGGGCGGAGGACAATGGATAAATGGGATGGAGAGGGAGCCCCGGGCTCCCCGGGCTCGGGATCCACAGCCCCGGCAGGGCTGATTTCGGTGGGATTGGGGGACTGGGGGGACTGGGAGGCAGGGATTGCCGGTGGGAGCACCGCGGGGAGAGGGAATTCCTCCGTGTCAGGGGATGTCCCCCCTCCCCTCCCCTCCCCTCCTCTCCCCTCCCGCCCCCTCGCAGGCGGTTTTTGGGAGCGTTCTCCCGGCACTCCCTCCCGGCCATGGAGCCCTGGGCGCTGCTGGACCCGCGGCAGAGGGAGCTGTACCGGGACGTGATGCACGAGAGCTACGAGACCCTCCTGTCCCTGGGTAAGGAACCCCCCGAACTCCCCTTTCCCTGCTCTGCATCCCCCCCCCTCCCCTCCGGCAGGTTTCCCCAAACCCCAGCCCTCTCCTCAGTCCCTTTTTCCCCCTCAGGGAAACATTTCTGACCTCCCCTGATTTAAACTGGAAATCCAGGCAGGGATTAGGGCCCGGTGTGCTGAGCTCCTTCCACCTGCCCAGCTCAACCTGGGATGGGCCCCCCCCCCGGCCGCATCTCCCTCCCTCCCTCCCTCCTCTCCGCAGGATGAGTTTTCGGGGCCATCCCGTTGCTTCTCCATCCCTTTCCCTCCCGGCCCTGCTCCGCTCAAGGGCCCCTCACTCCCGTTTCCCTCCCCCTGCTTCCAGCAGCTCAGGGCCTGGTGAGCCAGAAGGCGGCGGAGGACGGAGCGGCCGAGCCCGGCGAGGGGCCGGGGGTGGGCTCGTCCCACGGCGCGGAGCGGGAGAAGCCGCTCGGCTCCCGCCGGCGCAAAGCCAAGCGCCCGGACAGGGCCGTGCCCGCCGGAGCCCCCCGAGCCCCCGCGGCGGCGGCGGCGGCGGCGCCCGGGCCGGGCCGCGCCGAACCCCCACCCGGGGGGCCGTGCCGGGAGCGGCCCTTCGGCTGCGCCGACTGCGGGAAGAGCTTCCCGTGGGCCTCGCACCTGGAGCGGCACCGGCGCGTCCACACCGGCGAGCGGCCCTTCGGCTGCCCCGAGTGCGGCGAGACCTACAGCCAGAGCTCGCACCTGCGGCAGCACCGGCGCGGCCACGCCGGCGACCGCCCGCGCCGGCGCGGCAAACACTCAGCCGAGCCGGCGTCCCACGGCCTCGCCGCCCGGCGGCCCCACCGCTGCGGGGACTGCGGCAAGGCCTTCGCCTGGGCCTCGCACCTGGAGCGGCACCGGCGCGTGCACACCGGCGAGCGGCCCTTCGGCTGCCCCGAGTGCGGCGAGGCCTTCAGCCAGGCCTCCCACCTGGCCAAGCACCGGCGCGGCCACGCGGGCGAGCGGCCGCACCGCTGCCCGGCCTGCGGCAAGACCTTCCGGCAGAGCGCGGAGCTGGCGCGGCACCGGCGCGCCCACCCGGGCCGGCGGGCCCCGCGCTGCGGGCACTGCGCCCGCCTGTTCCGCGCCGGGCCGGCGCTGGCGCGGCACCAGCGCTGCCACCGGCCCGAGCGCCGCCACCCCTGCGCCGACTGCGGCAAGGCCTTCGTGTGGGCCTCGCACCTGGAGCGGCACCGGCGCGTCCACACCGGCGAGCGGCCCTTCCCCTGCGGCAGCTGCGGCGAGCGCTTCGCCCAGAAGGCCCACCTGCTGCAGCACCGCAGGAAGACCCACTCCCCCGACCGGCCCTACAAGTGCGGCGACTGCGGCAAGCGCTTCGGCGACGCCGCCCCCTTCCTGGCGCACCGGCGCGGCCACGCCGCCCGCAAGAGCTTCGCCTGCGGCCACTGCGGCAAGGCCTTCGCCTGGGCCTCGCACCTGGAGCGCCACCGGCGCGTCCACACCGGCGAGCGCCCCTTCGGCTGCCCCGAGTGCGGCGAGGCCTTCAGCCAGGCCTCCCACCTGGCCAAGCACCGGCGCAGCCACCTCCCCAAGGCCGCGGGCACGGGGGGGACCCGGCACTGCCCCTCGCCGGGAGCCGGCGCCGGGGGGAACGGCCCCACAGCAGTCACCACAGCGGGAGCCCCCGGCAGCGAGGAGCCCCGAGGGGCTGAGACCCCCTGAAGGACCAAGACCCCCCCGAGGGGCTGAGACCCCCTGAGAGGAGCCCCAAGGGGCTGAGACCCCCCAAGGGGCTGAGACCCCCTGAGTGGAGCCCCGAGGGGCTGAGACCCCCTGAAGGGCTGAGACCCCCTGAAGGACCGAGACCCCCGCGAGGGGCTGAGACCCCCTGAAGGGCCAAGACCCCCTGAAGGACCGAGACCCCCGCGAGGGGCTGAGACCCCCTGAGTGGA